GTATATTTTATTTAACCAATATATCCAAAATATTATCTTGTCAGTATGTGACTCTAGGCACACTTCAAGTGCTCAAATGCTATATGTGACTAGTGGCTACCTATTGGACATCACAGCTCTAAATCATGCTAAAGTCAGGAAAACACAGGATATTTTACTAACTACTTTGGGTTTTCAAAGTCACTGAAGGCTTTTTGTTACTGTAGCATCTCAAATTATAGTTATTAGGATTATAATTTACAGTTCGGTTGTCTTAAAGAACAATGCTGGCCGGGCGCGGTGGCTCAAGCCTGTAATCCCAGCACTTTGGGAGGCCGAGACGGGCGGATCACGAGGTCAGGAGATCGAGACCATCCTGGCTAACACGGTGAAACCCCGTCTCTACTAAAAATACAAAAACTTAGCCGGGCGAGGTGGCGGGCGCCTGTAGTTCCAGCTACTGGGGAGGCTGAGGCAGAAGAATGGAGTGAACCCGGGAGGCGGAGCTTGCAGTGAGCTGACATCCGGCCACTGCACTCCAGCCTGGGTGACAGAGCGAGACACCGTCTCAAAAAAAAAAAAAAAAAAAAAGAACAATGCTTTACATCCTAGGTTTGATTCTGGCCTCTGTCCATTACTAACTGAATTGAGCAAGTTCCTTAATCTCTTTGAATCTTAGTTTTCTCACCTGTCAAATGAGCAAAACAAGTATCCTCCTAATGGATTCCTAGGAGACACTCATCAAATAGCTGCTCCTTTTGATGTCCCATTACTTCAGACATTACATTTTTCATATGTTTCTCCTGGGGAATTGTTTAGGGCCCAATTCTCATCTGTTGGTGGCTTTAATTCTTGCAACACAGTTCTGCTACCTCTAACATCTATCTTTCTTATCACACTCAGACACTGGAGGAGCAGATGCACCAACTCTAACCTCTTCCTTTTCCTCTTAATTCTTCTTAAGTGCAAAGTATTCAACAGGCCTGCTTCTCTGGTTTAGTGATTTTGTTGTTTTTTGTTCCTTATTGGTTCCCAACACAAGTAATAGCACCCAACAATGGCTCAGCCCCTGAGCCCTGTGTTTGGATACAGAACCCAAAGTAGATCTTCTGTCCTTCCTGAAGTGTGTTTATAATTATCACCTTGAACCCTACAGCCTACTAACTTGTCCCATCTACTGCTTTCCAGCTCCAGATCTTGCAGTACTCAGACCTAAAGAAGGAGCAGGTCTATAGGTTGACTGAAGTTTGCTCTGTGCACTGCGGAGCATAATACAACTGTATCACTGATCTTTCTTCCATAAAGTGACACCACAGACAATATAGCACATCATTATTTACCGTGTTAACCTTTAGTGGTTTCATTATACATAATTTTTTTTGCAATTGGATTACAAGTCGAGCACCCCTAATTTGAAAATAAGAAATCTGAAATGCTCCAAAATCTGAAGCTTTTTGAGCACCTACATGATGGCATAAGTGGAAAATTTCACACCTGACCTCATGTAAGGGGTCACAGTCAAAATGACACATATTTATTCAGCATCCCCAAGGGGAAAATAAAATTACCTTAGAGGTAATGAAATATAGATAAATTCAGTGTTTAGACTTGGGTCTCCTCCCCAAGATATTACATTATGTATATGCAAGTTTTCCAAAATCCAAAAGAAATCTGAAATTCTAGACATCTCTGGTTCCAAGCATTTCAGATAAGGAATACTTAACCTGTATAAGCTCCTTGAAGGGAGGGCTCAGGCTTCAGTAAAGGATTAACCTTCCAGGATCATTGTATTTACCCCTGTATCTCCCACAATACTGCGTACACAGCAGGGGCTCAAGCAATAATTCTGCCTACATGGCAGTTTTCTGGCGGGTAGAAACTAGTTTGTAGAAATGAAGGAATCTACATGTATGGACCAATAGTGTCTGAGGTTCTCAGCAGGAACTATCAAATTCTGCAGTAAGCATATTTCCCTGCCCTACTACCACCATTCCAGCCTTAGAGGCAGGCAGCTGTGTTTTTCCCAGGTCTGAAGGGACACTTCAGTCCAGCAATGGTTACTGGTTGAGTTCGCACAGGAAAGGCGTTGGGTGCTATAACCACTCACAACCTAATTCCCCTTCCCCAGACGATTTTCCTAGGAGTGAAAGACCAGCTCCAAATCATAGGCCAGCCCTGCCCCCAGATCTGTCTCTGGGCTGGGTGCTCTTTCCATAACACACACTCGCCACTGCATGGGGTACAGACATCCTTCCGGTGTCTTGGAGACTGAAAAACCCTAAGATCCCTAGTGGCGATTCTCCAAAAACAGAACCTAAATACTATAACTTTGGGGGCAGATGAAAGGCTGTAAGGATGAAAATAGAGGGGGATGAGTGGGTGAAAGGTGGGGTAGATAGGTGAGTGACCTTATCTTCCTTCTTTCAAAATTCAACCCACTATTCAGGCGGCACCCATTCCCCTCGAGAAGGCCCCGGGTCGGGGGCCGAAATGGGATCGGCCAGGCCTGGAGAGCGCAGAGATGGAGAAAGCTGAAGGGTCCGGCAGACACATCCTGTGCTTACCATGATCACCACTTTGGGGGTAGGGCCCTTAACCTCCCGCTGGACGATGCCAAACCGCTGGCTGTACATTTTCGAGTCCCCTTCGGGATGGGGGCGGCGTTCGCCGCGTTTCCCCCAACCGTGGCGACCTGCGGGACCCGCTTCCGCGACGCAGAAGTCTCGTTGCCATGGTGCGCCTCGCGGGGTTAGGGGCAGGTAGAGGTGGGCGGGTACGACGGAAGTCTGTCTGGTCACCATGGGGGCCGCAGACGCCTGCACTCGCGACTTCCTCTTCCAGCCGAGAAGCTGAGCCTGCGCGGTCCTCACCCCGCCCCTCGGCCAAACCGCACCGACTTTGCTCCCTTCCTCTAGGGTTCATCAGAACGACAGAAAAATCCTCTAGCCCAAGAAAAATCGAAGCTCTAATTACAATTCCAGTTGACTTTGCTATTTATATCCTGTAATGGTCTAAAGGTACGAGAAAGGTTAGCGAACATTTTTTGGGAAGCTTAAATTTTGCACTATCTCTAGGTTAATCTTGATAACGGTGATAATCACAGGAAAACCTTGTATTTGTGTAGTTCTTTACAATTTCTAAGATATTTTCACACACACAACCTTTGAACCTCACAGACTTTTTTTGAGCCAAGGTCTCGCTCTGTCACCCAGGCTGGAGTGCAGTGGCGTGATCAGGGCTCCCTGCAACCTCGTCCTCCTGGGCCTCGGCCTCCAGAGTAGCTGGGACTACAAAGCCTGCGCCACCACGCCCTGCTAATTTAAAAACAAATTTTGAAGAGATAGGGGGTCCCGCTATGTTGCTCAGGCTGGAACTCCTGCTCCTGGGTTCAAGCGATCCTACCCCCTGCCCCTCCCGCCGGCCTCCCAAAGTGGAATTACAGGCTGCGCTACCGCGCGCGGCCACAAATATCTTATACGGTTGATAGAACAGCAAGTATTACTATCCTTATTTTCCAGCTAAGGCAAAGCTCAGGGAGCCTAAGTGCCTTGTCAAACCAAATAACCAGTAATAATAATAATAATAAAGGCTGTTAATAATAAAATCTTCCTGTTTGCCATTGGCAGAAACCAGGGCTTAGACTCAGGATATCCTAGGATGGGGACAGATCAGATAGACTAGTGGGGCAGTGGCACGACCTGGTGGGGCATAATTAAGAGTCTGAAGGTCACAGTGGAAGGATCAGGATGTGGATCAGAAGTCCAGTAACTGGTTTCTGAGAATCAGGATCCAGGCAGAACAGGAAACACAAATCAGGGAACCAGGACGGACCTGCAGCACAGGTAGTAACCACAGTTGCATTTCCAGTCAAGAGTAAGGTGGTGATACCTAAAAGCCAATTAAGAATGACACTCTGGTACTCCCAAAGTGGGGGTGAGCATAGAACACTTGAGCACATGCAACAAATCAGTACCTATGTCAAACTGACGTATAATAAGTACAACTAACGTGTATACCCTCCTTAAGGACACAATTTACCGCAAATTAGCATTCCTTAATCATATGCAAACCACCCACTTCGGCTTTTGTATATGGTACGTTTCTAAATATGAATTCCATTTCCTGAATTGCTGGTTCAGCTTTTCAGCCACGAAATGTCTTTCTTCTCTTTTAATCATCTTTTAATAATTCTGTCATTTTGTGTTCTTTTCAATTGCAGTTCAGTAAAACACTCATTTGCATTTACTAAGAGTTTACGTGGCCTGAAACAGAAAAGAAACAAATGAGGTGGTCGTCTCGGTTTCCTGGAGTGTCCAGAGGGGCGGTTCTTTGATCTTCGAGTTCAACGGGCCCCGGGACCGCCCATCGGTCTGGGCGGAACCTCCCCCACCACACCTCCGGGAAGGCGGCAACGAAAACGCGTTGGGCCCGGAGCAGGGCTTGGGAAAATCGGCAGCGATTCGGGGCCGCCCGCTGGGGATTCCCAAGGTTGTGCAGCCCAAAGGGCCTGGTCACAATTTCTGAGGCGATGGGGTAAACCGACCCTTGGCGACACCCGGCTGCACTCGAACGTCCTAGGTCGTCGAGCCCCGCCCTCACCCTGGGCCAGCTCCGAAATTTAACTCTGGGTCGGTTTTGCCTGTTTTACCACTGTTTGAAGAGGGGCACTCAGCTTCCCTCTGGCCCTAGCCCAGGTACTGGGGTTTGCGCCGGGCGGATGCCACGCCCCAGGGCGGCCAGGCCACTGGTGATGGGTGACGGGCGGTGCCTCCAGGGTTAGGGTTAGGGTTCGCCTCGGCGCCCCCTGGCGGGCCCACCAGCAGGTTAACGGTGTCCGGCCAGTGCTGAGCACCGAGAGCCTCAGCCTTCAGTGAACTCCCCCACCCCCGCGGCCTAGGGAAGTGAATCTCTCAGGGTCCTTGGAAAGAAGTGACCTTGATCTTCCCACCCACTATCCCAGTTTCTCAGAGGCAGTCAACACTGTTCCCACCAAACCACTCCCAAAAGAAACACTGAGCATGTAAGTGGGACAATAAAAATTTAAAAATAATTTTAAAATAGAACAGCTTAGAGATAGAAACTAAATTATTTCCAATTCCTACTGTGCCCCAAACAAGGTTCACAAAAGGGCTGTCCTCCCAATAATTTTCTGAATTCTATATATTCAGCATTAAATTCCATGATAAAGTTGGAAATCCATTCACCATTTGTAATACATATTGATGCATTTAATAAAATTGCATGGGCCGTATCTTTTGCATTTCTGTATCCTAGTATTAAGTACAGTGCCTACCACAGGCCTGGTTCTCAATACTTGAATGACACAAAAATAGCCAGGACCAGCAAGTTTTTTCTGGGTGGGCTTCATAGAATCTCTGCACTTGCTGGAATCACCAAGAAATTCATGGTCTTCAGCTTTGCATTTTCAGCAACATAGTTATTGAGTTATCCTCAGGTGAGTAGAGAGACCCTTGGGAGCGGATTCATGGTAGGGCGGCTTTGTAATGTGTCACCTTGGTGAGGCTGTTTCCCAGAACTCTCTTCCAGTAAGATGGGCCACAAGAGACATTTTGCTTGATAACTGGAGGGCAGAAGTGAAGCAGCAGCATATTGTTTTTACACTTGGAAGGCTGGTGCTGGGGCACCAGGCGCTGTTGCAGTTCACACATTGTCATGTATCTGCTGGATCACCTCGTTGGTGTGGGCAGCAGCCAGGCCTGCAGCTGCTCCACCTTCCCCAGGATCATCTCTTCAGCTTCTCTAATTCCTGGGCCAGATGCATATTTAACTCTGTGAGGAAGGGCACCAGCTTCTTCTGCAGGACACCCACATCATCGAAGCTGGAGGTGGTGAGAGACTGACATGGGTTCCAGGCCATCCTCGTGGGTTCCAGCTCGTGCTCGTGGGCTCCACTGTGTCCTCGGTCTCCCACACTTTACATCCATCTTCCCTTCCCGAGTGCCTGCCCTGCAGACTTCAAGCTCCAGCATTAGATGCAAAGATAACAGCCTTACAGAGACTGTTTAACCAGCTCCCACAATGGCATGCAGTCAGATCTCTATAATAAATCCCTTAAAGTACATATATACATAATCTTTATCTTAGTGGTTCTGCTCTTCTGATTGTATCCTAACATACATGGTAGGCAGAAGCTTAACTCATGAGTCTAAATGTCAATCAAATAAATTTCATATAGTTCATTGTCAAAATTACCAGAATACTGGGGTTGGGTGGTTGGTTCCTGGGGGAAACAAAGCAGTATCAGTCTATCCAGTCTTGACTAGGGCTGAACTAGTTAGGGTGGAATAAAGGAAGGGGTGGCGAAGGTGGCAGAGGCTGGACTGTATGATAGAACTGGGAAATGGCTCATCCATGTCTGAATTACTTAAAGCTGCAGGGCTGGGACTAGGGTAAGGCAAGGGAGGCACGTAGGATACAAAGTTTAAGGAGGCACTCACTCAGTCCTGGCCCTGTAAAGCTGGCTAACAAATTACAGGTCTAATCTTTTTGGCACTTTATGAATGAAGAATTGGAAAGAGTGAGGTAGGGCTGAGCCAAGACTGGCCCTTGGGCAGGACTCGAAGCAGGAATTCAGCCTCCTAGAAGACATTTGGGCTGAGGGCAGGAGCCAAGCACAAAGGTCATCAGAGGGCAGGAGATGCACGTTGTCAGGAAAGATGAGCCAGGCTGGCAGCTTTAGTTACAAAGACTGCTCTAGCTGAAGAGGGGGAGTCAGGGTAACAAGCAAAATGGACAGCAGCCAGTGGGGAGATATATCCTGTAGGGTTTGAGGAATCCTATGCAGCACCTGGGGCCTGCAGGAAACCCAGTTTCTGTATGAACAGATGTTCTGACAAGGTGACCCCATCTACATCGAGTCTTGGCACTTTCTAAACCATGCTAGAGACAGGAATGTAAGGGATTTATTATAGTACTTATAGTAATCTGTGTTTTGAAGGTCACCGAAAACTCCTGTTAGTGCATACAGGATTACAGGTTACAGTTTAGTGGCTTAAAGAACAAGGGCTTTAAAAGCTGGGTTTCATTCTAGGCTCTACTAACACCAGCTGTTTGACATTGGACAAATTAATGAGTCTCAGTTTTCCCATTCACAAAAATGGGCAAAATCAATGTCTTCCCAAAAAGATTATTTTAAGGATTAAATAAACTGGGTCCACAGAGGAACACACCAAATAGCAGTTCCTTTCCTTATTTATTCAATTACATTTTCAATTGCTGTCTCCCTGAGGAAGTATGTAGAGACACTGCCAGGTCTCATCCAGAAGCCACTTACAATTATTCATGAACATGGCTTGTTTAGGTTGTTTTGTGGTGGTTTTAATTATATTACCTTTCCCCATCCCAGCTCCCCCACCCTTAAAATCCAACTTCTTATACTCAGGCTCTTGGGGAGGAGAAGATGCACCAACTTTCTACTCTTTCTCTTCCTTTCCCGCTTACTTCTTCTAGAAGCTCAAAGTACTGTTAGGCCTGCTCCTCTGGTTTCGTGGTAGGTTTTTCCTCCTAGGGTTGATTCACACACAAGCCCTGGCAACCAATCTAGGGTCCAGCCCCTAGTAGATCAGTGTTGTCTCTCATAAAGCCAGTCTGCAAATATCACCTTGAATCCTACAGTCTGTAGAAGCCTCCAGTCTACTGCTTTCTAGCTCCAGGTTTTTTAAGGTCTTTGGACCTAGGGAAGAGGGAGCAGGTCTGTATGTTGAATAAGGTTTGCTATATGCGAAATGGAGCATTACAAAACCATTTCCTAGTATTCTGTGTCCTCCATCCACTTCCCCTTAATTACCTTTATCTTTTTTTATATCTTCTAAAAACTACCATTATAGACAGCTTGTCCATAGTCAGATAATAAGCTCCCTGAAGGTAGGTATCCTGTGTCTCCTGACACAGGATATAAGCTTTGCAGGGCTCATTGTCCTCAATGCTGTGCACCCAGCAGGAACTCAATCAGGACTTCTGTAGTTGGCCAAGCATAGATGAAAGGGTTTCCAGCCTGGTGGGCTAGTTTGTAGGAGCAAAGGAATCCACGTGCTTGGCCAATAGTTTACATTGCCAGTGTCTGGGGCTCTATGCAGGGTCTGTCAACATTCTATAGGAGTCAGCATTCCCCTGCCCTCCCAACCATTCTAGTCCTTACAGGCATCTACCCTTCGTCCTATGCCAGGACTATAGGGACAGTTCTGCATGGCATCTGAAGTTAATAACCTCAATAGGCTCAGGAAAGGCTCAAGAGATCCAGCCCAAGCCCCTCCACAGAGGCAGCTCCAAGAAGTACAGGGCAACCAGAGAACACGCAACTACGTGTGAACCCGGCTCACAAAGCCAGCTCGGAACCCAGATCTCCTGCCCATCCCACTGCCCAGGCAAGCCCAGCACCATTTCTCTGATATACATTGCTCAGTGTCAGGCAACAGCCCACCCAGAGGTCTCCTGGAGACTCCAAAGGCCTTCAAGACTCCAAATGATTATTCTCTGAACAAGAATTTATATATTAAAGCTGACCCCTATAGATATTTCTTAGGAAAATAGGGACCAGACTCCCTATCTTTTTCTTTCAAATTTCATGATAGAGTGTCAAGTCTTCCCCCTACCCCCAAAGGAGAGTCCTAACCTGGAATGCTATTGGGCTGGATCTCCGGAGAAATCTCTATGGTCCTACACACATGCCCTCATTAATTGTGATCAGCATAGTGGGTATGGGCCTTTACCTCCCACCACACCATGCCAAACTGCTGGCTATACTTTCAAAACTCAGGGCCCACATCTGGCCAACACCCCCTCCTTCCCCATCCCTCACTATGTGGGGCACACCTTGGCAACCAGACCGCTGTATCTCGGAAGCGGGTTCCACCCAGGCTGAAAATCTCCGTGATCTAGAGAAGAATTAACACCATAGGTCAATGTGGTTGTTGGGGCTATGGCAGGGTCAGGGCAGGGTGGGGCATCCCCAGCACTGACCACGGGTGTGCCAGCCCCTCCTGCCTCTTCTTCTGGGGCCAATTTGGAGGCAGAGTCATCCTTGTTCTCCTCCTTGTCCTCCTCAGGGTCAGGTGGCTCTTGCTTCACAGATGGCAGGCCTGGGTCTACTGCCTGGGAGAAGTAGGAAACAGGCAGCCATTAGAAGGGCAGAGTTAGCCCGAGGAAAGTCTCTATCAGCCAACCCCTCACTGTGCTGACAAATCCTACCTTCCATCACATTTCAACACAGAAAGGCCATCTCTGCCTATAAACCTTTCCCATTCCCATTCCTCACTGACCTCCGTTTTTCTGTTAGCTGGACAGCAAAGCGGGCAAAGCTAATTGCCTGCGGGAGGTAGGGTGTCTGTTAGACAGGCGGGGTAATTCTGCAGAAAGGTTGCAATCAGCACATCTATTGCTCTGCTTAAGAGAACCATCATGGCTCATCATCACTCTGCTTACAGACCAGCCTGCTACGGCATCAACAGAACATCCATCACTGCCCCCACCTTGCTAGGGCAGCCAGGCACCAATACGGGAGAAGTCAGGACAGCTGTGCCTGGTGTCCACTCGTCCTGGGTATCCGCCTTCTCTTGCTTCACCTGGGGTAAGGCCACAACCCAACTCAGGCCAGAGCACTGGGCCTCCTGCGTGAGGGAGGATTGCAGCAGACTTGGTCTCAGCTCCCTGGCATGAGGCTGGGTGGGGCTGGGAAGGGAAGGACAGGGTGGGGCCCTCACCTGCAACAGGGCTTCTGTGGAAGCTGCAACAGGGCCTGGCACCTGCACAGGACTGCTTGCGCCCTCCCGTAAAAACACAAGGTCAGTGCCAGGCGGAGGCAGCACAAAGCCACCACCTGCTTCCTGCTTCGTTGGAGCCTGGGTATGGTCTGGTTGGGCTGTGCGTGTAGCCAAGGTGGGCTTCAAGGTAGGCCCAAGATGGTGCCGTCGGGCAGAGCTGGGCCTCTTTCGACGATGGTAAGGTGGGGGCGATCCTGCCCCATCCTCAGACTCTGACCAGACACTGGGCAGCAGCCGCTTCTATGAGGAAAGATAGGGTGCTATGGCTACCTGGCGTCCTGACCAGTCACATCCACCCTGCCCGGCTCCACATGCCTGCTAATCTCCCATCGGTCCCAGCATGGAATCTGCTTACGTATGAGCCCTTCGTCATTGAGCCTGCTAGTCTCCTATTAGCAACACCAATGCCACCTAGACTCATTAAGCCAAGCACAATGTCTGTTAATCCTCAACCAAAGCTACTGCGCCACCCACCCACCTACCAAGCCTGCCCACCACTCCCAGGCACTGGGGCGCCTGGCCCAACCTATCCCGGCCACCTGACCCTTCCTGCCCCACCCACCATGGCAAACTGCAGGCATTGGCGCCAACGACACTTCTGGCGCTTCTGGTTGCTGCCCCCGAATTTGGGCTTGTCGCAGCAGAAGTCGCAGCGGCCACAGTCCATCCGCCGTAGGCAGGCTGCACAGGCCCCGCACTTGCGGTTCTGCCGGCGGTTCGTGTAGGGCTGCTGGGGTGGGGGGAATGGGTGGTGCTGTCAACTAGGACTAGGAGAGGCCATCCTCAACGCCTATTCCAGTGCTGGTCCTGGTGCTCCTCTAGCCCCATAAGAAGGAGCTACTTGCATACTAGTCTCAGCCTCCTGACTCCCAGCTAGTCACTCCTCAGCATTTGCTAGTTCAACATTGGCCACTATCGCTGTGCCAGCTGGCCCTCGATACCATTAGGACTGTGGCTGCTCCACTACAATATCCAGTGCTGTATTTCCTAGGCCACCACTGGCTACCAAGAAAATGTCTCTAACCCCCATTTCCAGCAACATTTTGATAACTCTCTATTAGCTCCCATCACTGTGCCTACTCTGTCTGCTCATCCTGTGTGAACCCCAGTCATTGTGCTAGCTGCTCCTCTGTCAATCCCATCACTGTGTCGATTAGTCCTGCATCAGCCACCAGAGTGTTGATACATGTGACATGAGGCACTGTCATTGCACCTGCTGACCCCGTATTAGTCCTCCATTATCTACTCATCCCATCCTAGGACCCATTATTGTGCCTTGCTGTTCCCCAATAGGCTCATTCCAGCATCTGCTTCTTTGAAGTTAACCAAGCGTCCTGAGAGTCTAGGCTTATCCAGGTAGGGTGGGGCCACTCACTAGCTCGTCCTCGTCTACACAGTAATAGATGAATTCGGCAGGTGGCGAGGGGGCCAGGGCTCTGGGGTGCTGTAGAGGCAAATGGGGTGGGGTCAGGGCAGGTACTGGGTAAGGTCAGGGTTGTGCCTTCCCTCCACCCACTGGGGCCTCACCGGCTCTGTGGGCTCTGGGGACTGTGATGGGGGAGGTGGAGGCAGTGGCTGGGCTCCGGGGCGCCTCCTGGCAGCCATCTTGGAGTCACAGCCTCCCTTGCGGCGGGAATGTTTACCCTAGGAAAGACCAGAAAGGGTGGTTTCAGCTTGGTGGCACCAGGCAGACACAGGAACTCCCCACCCCCTAAGTGCAGAAAGCATGCATGGGACAGGCAGACAGAGGGTGGCATGAGGCACTCACAGTTGGGGGAGCCACAGCCAGGGGAGTGCGTCGCTGACATCTCTGATGACGGCGACGCAGGCGGTGAGCAAGGTGCTGGCAGACAGGGGCAGGCAGGCGGGGCCAGAAAGGTGAGCGTGGGGTTAGGCAGAAAAGAAAGACATAAGGTAGGCAAGGCCAGGTTGAAAGGAAGCAGAGGCAGCGACGATTTTAACAGCAGAGTGAGCTCTGCTCCCTCCAGCCCGACTCACCCGTAGGCAACGTCGCTGGACACATTTCCACTGGCGCCTGAGACCAGGGCGGGGAGGGCGAAGGCAGATGGGACAACGGCCACAGTCCTCTTGGGTCTGACAGCCCCGGCATACTCCACACCCTCGGCTCTGTTGGAGGGGATGTGGGAGCAGAGGCATGAAGCATGGGGCCAAGCCCACGAGGGCCAGGGGCCGAGGTGAGCCTTGGGCTCTTTCCACTTGCCCGACTCACCCTTTCCACAATCCGGAGGCAGCGTCTCCGTTCACACTTGCAGAACAGCCCCGATGCCACATCATGGGGCAGCTGCAGGAGGCACGTGGAGCAGGCCCCACAGTCTTCTGTTACCTGGCAGGCTGCACACTCCCCACAGCCCACACGCTGCCAGGGATGGTAGGGACGAGATCACGGGCCTGCTCCAGAAGCACTGGTCCTCCCATGTCTACTGACCCTACATCAGCTCCCATCACCGGGACTTCTAGTCACCCATTAGCCTCATCACTGAGGCCATTAGTATGTCTACTGGTCCCTTGCTAACTTCATCACTGTGTCTACTGACGCACTAATGGTAACGGGAATTAATTAACCCATTGATTCCCATTACTGTGTTTGCTGACCTATGGACAGCACCCTATAAAATGACTTCATCCTGTGGACCTATCATCATCCCTTAGGACTCTACCAGCTCAATCACATCCTGCTCCCACTGCAGAGGTGTGAAGAGAAAGCAGGTTGTGCTTACCTTAAACATTCTCTGTTCTCGGTTGAAGGCAATTCTCTGTGCTGTGGGGAGGAAGAGGGAAGAAGAAAAGTGGAAAGAAAGCAACAGACATCTGACTGATTCACTCACTGCCTGTGGCCTGACTTCCACTATTCAACCTCTACCCATGCCTGCTATCTCCAGTATCCAACCTCCAACCATGCCAGTAGCCTCTGTCCTGACATCTACATTCAACCCCCAGCCTAGCATGACACTGAACCTGCTCCAGCTCCTATCTCCCGATGCCCCATCCTCTGGGGGTCACTCACCTCGACAGTCTTTGCACAATGTTTTGAGCCGCTGCCTTTGGGTGCCATCCCCTGAGAAGCTGATTCCACAGTTCTCACAGCATCTGGGATGGGAAAGGCAGGTGAGGGGCTCCAAGAGCACCCCCAATCACAACCCTCACCCATCTGGCTCACCTCAAACCAACACTCACCCAGGAGCAGGGAATGAAGCTGGGGCTGTGTCAGTGTCAGCCTTGGTCTCATCCCTTGGGGCCTCCTTCCTGACCTCACCACTCTGGGGTCCAACCTGACGTTTCCGAGTCTTGGCTGGCCTTGAAGGCTTCTTTCGCTTCTTGCTGGCAACAGCCACAGGATGGGCCTGGAAAGTAAGGGAAGGAGGCATATGGGTCAGTGGGTGGGTGCTGAGTGGCACAGCCACCCCTACCTAGGCATCTCACATTGTGAAGTACCTTGGGGGCTGGATAGCACAAGATGCCTTGTTTGAAGTCGAAGAGGGTGAGATCACACGCAGGGCCCAGGTATCGAGTCAGCTCAACTTTGCTTCGGATCCTGTCTCCTGTGGGGCTAAGGATGGGCCATGATGGGTTAGCACCCAGGTGGAGCCAATGTCATTTCACCCACACAACCTTCCGACAGGGCTGGCAGGATACAGGAGGCAAGCTGGAATCGGCCTGTGAGCCCTGCCCAGCCCCACCTCAACTAACCTTGAAAACATAAAAAATTAATATAAATACCAACACAAATACAAACATCAGAAATAATACAAATGTAAACAAACAAATATATTTATAACATATAATACTAGTAATACTGAACGGCGAGTGCCTGTAGTCCCAGCTATTCGGGAGGCTGAGGCAGGAGAATGGCTTGAACCCGGGAGGCGGAGTTTGCAGTGAGCCGAGATTGCACCACTGCACTCCAGCCTGGGCGACAGAGCGAGACTCTGTCTCAAAATATAAATAAATAAATAAATAAGTTAGCATTATGTACCCAGTATATAATCAAGCAAAGAAAACAACACAAATATGTTTTAAAAACACACAAACAAATACAACTACACACAAATTAAAGTATAAATAATTGATTTTGGGACCCCCGGTTTCTTGCATTTCTGTAAGCCCTGCAAGAGAGACACTGATTATTCTTTTTGATAAACTATCTTTCCAAGGATGTTTGTAAAGCAAACAACCTTGGAAGATAAGAGATAGGGTCTCCTTCCATAGTAAAGGGAAAGCATACTTAGTGTCCTAACGTTATTAAAAAAACTTGATTCTCTAAGCTCAGGGTTCTTTTCCTATAATAATACAACCCTCTTCATGTCATGCTGTAGGAATTGGGATTCAGGAAACTGGCACAAAAATAGTAATACAGTAATTCCCCCTCTCGTCAGGGGATACATCCCAAGTTCCCCAGTGGATGCCTGAAACCGTGGATAGTACCAAACCCTAATGTAATATGTACTGTGTTTTTTTCTACCTGATAACTGAGATGGTTACTAAGCGACTAACAGGCAGGTTGTGTATAGAACATGGATATGGATATGGATATGGATATGGACAAAGAGATGATTCACCTCCTGAGCAGGACTGAGCAGGATGGTGTGAGATTTCATCACGCCACTCAAAACGGCACACAATTCAAAACTAATGAATTATTTCTAAAATTTTCCATTTAATATTTTTGGATGGTGGTTGACTGTAGGTAACTAAAGTTGTGGAAAATGAAATTGCAGATAAGGGGGAGACTTATTCTGGATCCTGCAACTGTTGTAATAAACTGTCTTTGACCTGTAACCCAGGAGTCTTACCTCTCCTACCAACATCTACAAAATTCTGACAAATTCACTATTATCTTGTCCTAAGAATGAAATCTCAGATCCTTCGTAGTTCCTGACAACTGCACTTTTAAGTTTTGAAAGTTTTATACGAGTACATAAATATGTGAATAAATTATAACTAAATACAAACAAAAAGTAATTTGTAATTTGATATTTACCTGGAAAACTGCAACTTAGATTTAAAAAATCAGAACGAATAGAGAAACATAATAATTAATGTAGCCTAAACACATGTAAATGCTTATAAACATCTATGCTGATTCTCATTAGTTATGGTAGGTATGTTCTACAAAGTTGCCATGAACATTGAATACAAAACCATTGCTCCTAGAGGAAATACAGGGTTAGGTTCCTGAGAGCATCTGAACTTCTGTTTTGTGCGTGTTTCTGTTTAAATACACATTACTTAATATGTATTTTTTACAAATGATTATTTGCATGGTCTTTGAATGACTCAAACCAGGGGCTTTGGAGGCCATATGTGTTCTGTAGGTTTGTTTGCCAATATTCTTGTTTAACAAGCCAATCCCATTGGCATTGAAAACCACTCTTCTACACAACCCCTTTCCTATATAACACTTAAAAGGTATTTTTAAAATTCTTCGGAAGACTCCTGATCGGGAGAACCTGCATTGCATGCAAGTTTAACATTTTTCATGCCATGTTGCCTTTTGAAATGTGCAAGTCAGCCAGCACTAGCTGATACAACCTTAATATTTTCCTAACCCAGAGTAACGTGACTTTGGCTTTCCTCAACAATGCTGTCCACTATGCTTTATTGATCGTCATTTCATGAATCCACCAACGTAGCTGCTTTCTCATCTCTTCCATAGCTTCAAGACTATAAATGCTTTCTGTATTTTCTGAAGCAGCCTTGTGCACATATTGGCAAATTTCCTTCTTTTTCTGGTTGTATCATAATTCTGATGCATAACATTGAACTTACAGCCAACAGCATTGAAACTCAGATAACCAACAAGGTTTATCTGCCTTGTATTTTCTCCGTAAGGCACAACATGGCCTTCTCACACTCAGAACACTAAACAGCACCTCAACACTACGCTTGAGGACTATTTTAAAAAGCAAAATCACCAACAAAACATACAAAAATTAGAAAAATGTGACACTAAACAGACCACGAAAAGGACACTTGTTTATAGTATTAAAGCTGAAATAAAAAGGGCTCCTTCAGTCTCAGCTAGAAACACATGCATTGAGTGACAGTTTTTCACTGCTCTGTGCATGTCCTTTAATAATCACAAATGCACTGTGAGTAGTGACTTTTAAGTTACAAATACTGTATTAAGTAGGTGAAATTGCAAACATAAAATCCGCTAATAACGATTAACTGCGCATAATTTAAACTCCATCCATAAATTTAACCGCACTATTTGATTTTACCCTAAGAGGCTCTACCCCACCCCCACTCTGCCCACAACCCACCCAGTACCTCTGGTAATAGGTGTCTGAGCGTCCACAGGTGGCCCCTGACTTGCGAAAGACTTCACGGCGCTTCCAGCCAGGGCCCAGGGCCGGGCAGTCCAGCCAGTCCTCAGCCATGGAGGCCACAGAAAGCAGCAGTAGCCTGAAAGGGGGTTGAGGGGATGAGGGAAACTGAGGCTCTAGGAAGGGACAAAATGTGCCCCAGGCCACACAAATCACTGGTATCCATTAGTGCTTGCCCAAGACCTAGGACCTGCCGCAGGCAACCAGCCCATATATGGAGAAGAAACCCCTCATATTCTCACCCCATTCTTTCCTATTCTGGGCCTAGGAGATCCTCATTCCTCAACCCAAGGATCCCTGTTTATTATTCTTAGTGTCCTAATCCCCTACTCCTCTCTATCCTCAGACTCACAGCCCATCATTTCTCCTCACTGCCAATCCAGAAACTTTTCATCTTCCCCCCTCATTCCTCCCTGTCACTGACCTAAGGGCCTCTATCCCTCTATTTTATCACCACAAGACCCCCATACTTCCCATCCTCAGCCCCAAAGGGCCCCATTTCTCTTGCCCTCACTACTTGGCTTCAGTAGTCTCTCATTCCCCCCTTCCCCGACCCAGGAGTTCCTAATTTCCTTCCTTCAGTGTTTTAACCATTCCATTCCCTCTCTGCCTGATGTCCTCTTATCTTGCTACCTCAGTGTTACAACCTCGACTTCCTCTGCGAGACACAACTGCTCCAACCCATGACCCGAACAGCCCCTCATCTTTTCCATTTCTCACACACTGGAAGCCTCCCATGCCTCCCCTTCCTCAGCCCAAGAGTTCCCCCCTTATTTTTCTTCTCCTTCAATGTTCTGGCCCACAATTTCTCCCCAGTCTCAGCCCCCAAACCTTCCTGTTTCTCTCCTCTACATCCAAAAAATTCCCCACTTCTCTCTCTCACTGTTCTCATTCTCCATTCCTCCCTTATCCTGAGAGACCCTAATTTCTCCCCTCAGCATTCCGAACCCTCCCCCATTCTCTGTTCTTGTCCTGGGATCATGCCATCCCTAACTGTCAGCGTTCTGATCCCCTACTGCTCCTCGTCCTCTATATGGGGCCTCCCATTCCTCCCTTTCAGCATTCCAACGCCTCCATTTCTCCTGTCATCAGCCTGAGGGTCCCTCATTTCTCCCGCTCGGAGTTCTGAACCCCCATTTCTCTCTCAACTTCAGATGCCCTGATGTCTCCCTTAGCGTTCTGATCTCCACCATTCCTCTCCGTCCTCGTCCCAGGATCCCGACACTCCTACCTGTCAGAGTTCTGAGCTCCATTCCTTCCTGTCCTCAGCCTAAATTCCCCCGTTTCTCCTCGTCAGTATTCCGACGCCGCCATTCCTCCCCCTCATCGGCCTGAGGGCCCTTGATTCCTCCCCGTCAGCGTTCTCAGCCACAATTCCTTCCTATCCTCCGCCTGAGCACTCTCCACGTCCAGCCCCAAGGCTGTCTCACCAGTTTGGCACCAGGCCGGTATCTTCCGCCACTCTAGGCCCGTGGACCCATGGCGAGGGTCCCTCCTGCGCCTCTCGCCTCGCCCTCCTCCCCTTCTTCCTCCTCCGCGGCCGCCTCCTCCGAAGCGGTAGCTGTCGCCTCCGCGGCTGTTCGTTGCTCCCGGAACCGGAAGTCCGCTGCCTTCCTCTCGGGCTCCGCCTCTGGCTAAGCACCTGCGCGCTATTGCCTCGACGTCGCGTGCCCTTAATAGGGAGGCTCCCGCGCCTGCGGGCTGGCGCTCTGCAGCGGGGCGCGCGCTCCCCTGCCGAAAACCAGTTGCATCTGCGTGCTGACGTTCAACGACAGCTCGTGCCCCATCGAAGGAGGGACCTGCAGTCGGGACTCTGCTCGCTGACCATCTAGCTTGCGCATGCGCTCTCCAGTCTCAAACTGAAGGGAAGCCGTCGGGGAGGGCTTGCGCCTGCGCCCTCCCTTCCCTCCCGCGGTCTCCGAGGCGGATACCCACAGCGGCGAGGAAGCTGCTTCGCGCCTGCGCACTCGCTGACTCAGCCGGCGCTCTCTTCTCCCATCTCTCGCTGGGGTCTATCCTGTGCTCGCCGGTCCCTCCGAACATCAACCCCAGGGCGGTCGTGTCCCGCTCCCTCCTCCCCGCCGAACAGGTGCTGGAGCGCGCGGGGCGGGGAAAGGGGCGGTGACGCACCGCAGGTAAACTGAGGCACGCGGGAGGGCGCGCCCCTGCAGGAGGCGAATCCCCAACGTGGGGCTTGTGGGGAAAAGGCGGGGCCTGGCGTCCACAGTAGAGGACAGCTCTGGGTGGGAGACAGGAGCACGCGTGGGCGGTGTCACCACACTGAATACGTGCTGCGTAGACCCTCTGCCTGTGGGAGGCTGGGAATGTGGGTCCCTGGGCCCTCCCGGGGTGCAGGCGCCCCCCATCTTATCCGGGAGTCTGGAACAGTTGCAACCGCAGCAAAGTGGACACAGCTTCCTTGGTTTCTTCAAAATTTTATTAACAAAACCCAGGGAGAGGAGGCAAGGATGAGTGGACTCCGCAGCCCCACCAGGCACTGAACATGTCGACGGGGACAGACCCTCTGATAAAGGCAGACGGGCGGTCAACCGGTGGATGGGCACAGGGAGAACCAGAGAAACAGATGAGTGGAGGAACGGACACATGGGCACCGGGCAGCTCCCCCATCTGGAATGCAGGGTGTGAGGGGTCCGGGCCAGAAGGCTCAGCGGTCGGCACTGGAGCGCAGGTCGGTAGTGAGGGGATCGTGCTGGATTGTCTGGTGCAGCATCAAGGCCAGCAATCCCGCGCGGTTTGTCATGGCTGTGCGCACATTGCGCTCCTGCTCAAACAGCTCGTCCAGCTTGTACCACTGCCAAGAGAGCGGCAGGAGTCCTAAGCAGGAACAACTGAAGCCCCGCCTGCCCTCGGCCACGTCCGGCATGGAAACCTACCACATGCACCATGAAACCACAGCGAAACCTACCACACGCACGCGCTCCAAGTCCACTTCCGCACGCCGCAGCTTCTCCCAGCAGTAATGGCGATTGCACTGGCGTTTGGGCAGGCGGCAGAAGTCACCCGTGAGCTCAAAGACATCACGTACAAGGGGGCACCCGCATACCTCGTCAGCTGGCACCTGCAGGGAGGCCGGGTTGGAGGGATGAATAATGGTGATAAGGGAGAATAAGAATGGGGGCTCAAGGAGGGAGAAGGGAAAGAATGGAGGGTTCAGGGAACGGTGAGGAGGCATGGAAAAGGGAGGAATGGAGGGTGAAGCAGCAGGGAAGGTGAGAGGAAAAAGTGAAGGAAAGGTGAGGTGAGGGAGGCAGGGATGAATGTGGGACAGTGAGGCAGGGAGGAGGGGCAAAATGGGAGGAGCTGAGGGAAAACCTTACTTTGGGGTCCCGTGAGTGCTCGGGGCACAGCACCTGGAGCCGCTTACAGTATGTTTTGCTCTGAGGATTATACACATCACAGAAGAGTCGTGTGGCCCTGGGGGTTTGGAATAGAGAGAGGGTAGTAAAGGGAGGTCCACCTGTCCTTGCCCGTATCCTGCCCCAGTTCCACACACATCCCACTTCTGACCTCCGCCTTAACCCCCCACCTCTCACTTCGCGTGGCACCCTCACTTACCCTTCAATGCGTGTGGGGTACATGGACCCAAAGGATGTCTGGCTCTCATACTGGAGGGATGAGCACAAATGGAGGGAACTGTGGATGTGCGCTGCATGCCCTCCCAAGACACCACCCAGACAACAAATCTGTCACCCACTGGCCCACCGATGTTCCCACATGGTCTGCCCCCTCAGTCTGACCCCCAACCTTGGCATAGCAGCGCTCCATGTGGCGCAAGGCAACACGTGGGTTGATGGGGTGCCCACAGGAAACACAGAAGATCTGCAGGTCTGTGTCATCACTGTCACCCTCGTTGCTCTGCATGGGGTGGAAGGAACAATAAGGCTAGGAAGGACAAAGTACCGGCCCTGCCCCGCTGCGCCCCTGCTTGCTCACCTCCTCATCCTCGCGCACAGCCTGCTGCTTGGCACGCAGAATGATGGCCTCAAGCTCATGGAATCGGCGTTCCATTTCCTGAAGGCGAGTGCGGGCACTCTGCTGCTCTCGGCGAATGCGTTCCAGCAGCTTCTTGCCGTGCTCTTCAGCAATGCAAGGGCTCTGCTGCCACTGCTGGATGCGCTGGGGGAGAATCTCATAGATGCGGCTGCAGGGAAGGTAGCAAGCAACAGAATGAGTGAGGTGATCAGTGAGGGTGGGAAAATAGATGCATGACTAAATGGCAAAAGGAGAAATAAACAGGTGACTGGCGGAATGGTGGCTGGATGGACACAGGGGCGGATAGGTGGATGGGTGAGTGGGTAGTGGCTGTTTGGTGACTGAATGGTGGACAGCTGATTGGTAGACATACAGAAGGCGGTGGTCAGGCCCTACCATGTACTTCCTGACTCCCTTGAACCCCTCAGGAATGACTCACTTGGCTGCCAGCTTCATGCCACAGTCATCTGAGCAATACTTGGAGCTGGGCTGGGCGGGGCGCACACAGCCAGGCCCCAGGCACTGGGGCAGCGACGCAGGGTCCTTGGCATCAGCCCTCTCTGGGTGTTTCCATTTATCCTTGTGCTTCTGCTTCTGCCGATGCCGCTTGTATCGCTCCTCCTTCTGTTAAGCAAGACAGGTCAGGTCAGGGTGGAGTCAAAGTCAGCCCCAAACCCCAGACTCCTGCTCCATTCTAGCCCTTTCTGGCTCTTGCCCCATTCAGCCTCTGACCTCTGCCTCTCCCTCAACCCCACCCTCTGCCTTTCCACATGCATTTTACCCTCTCCATCACCTTCTTCTCAGACTTCTTCTCCCGACGCTTCACATGCTTCACTTTCACTGCCCTCTTGCGCAGCGCAGGGTCCAGGAATGGGGACTCTTCTGTGTCGCTCATCCAGGGCTGCAAGCAGGGCATGCACTGACCCACCTGCCCCGCTCATGACAACCCCACCACCTACTCATGTCCCATATCAGCCTTCCATACCCTCTGTCTCCTCATTACGGATACTCTCTGCTTCTGTAACCTCCACCCTTCCACCAGGGGATGCTCCTATCTGCTCACCAGGCCGTGGTCATCAAAGGCCCCTGCACAGAAGTCCTGATACAGGTCAGGATCCAGAGGTAGGTCCTCATCTGAGAGTGGCTCAGGCGTGGCTGTAGCCTCAGGAGGCTCCTTGACTGCTGATGATGCCACTGCTCCCTCATCTTCACGGATGCGCCCTAACTTCTGTGATGGCTGTGGCTGCTGTTGGGTGGGCAGTGGCCGGCGGGGCCTTGGCAGGGACTCTGAGGGCGTCACTGGTGAGAGCTGCGGGGCAGAATCTCAGGACTGGCCCTGACCGCCCTGCCCGCATGCCCCGCCCCACCCTGGGGAGCTGGACTCACCGAGGAAGGGAAGTACTTGTACGATTCCTGTGCCGGCAGGAGGAAGGCCCAGGTCAGCCCCAGGTGGATGGAGGGCGGCCTTGCCCTAGCCCCACCCACCTGGCCTGGCCTTACCTCCCCAGACACACCTCCCCACTACCCCTTACTACCAGGAATGCTCGCCCCTGTCTTATCTGTACTGACGTGCATGACCACCTGGAAACACCTGACCCCACTCTGTCCACCCAGGGTTGGTGGGGGTTCTGCCAGCCCAGCATACCAGCTCATGCCCCATTCATCTGGACATGACAGGTCCCTTCCCACCTGTCTAGATACAGTCAGGCCCAATCCCACCTGGCTTAGCCATGCCTAGACTACACTAACCATGCATGGACCCAGCAGCTCTCCCACACCTGACCCTACCCAGCTCTGTCCATGCTCACCCGGGCCCGCAGCTGGCACTGGCGCAGCCGGCACTTCTGCCGGATCTTGTTGGGGCCCCCAAACTTCTTCATGTCCCGACAGAAGTCACAGTGACCACAGTCCTCAGTGCGCCGACATGCCTCACACTCACCACACATGCGGGCTGACCGTTTGATCTGCTGCTGCTGCTGGTGATGCTGGAGGAGGGGGCCCAGAACAGAAATTATGGACCCAGGCAGGGCTGAAACGGAACCACTTTACACATCTACTCACTTTATGCAGCCACTCACCTGGCTGGGTGTGGCCACCAAGGGCTGCGGCGAGGATTTGTGGGGCGAAGCAGAGCCCCGAGCAAGCATGGCCCCAACCCCTGTCCCTGACCCTGCCCGGCGCTGCAGGTCTGGATCGGGGACAGGCCTCTTGCGCCCTCCACCCTCATCCCGGGGCTCACTGCCGTCCCGCTCATTGCCATCCCGCTCCCGTGACTTCTTGTGCCGATAGCGAATCTCTAGTTTGGGGTCTTTCTCTGTGGGGCAGAGAGTAGGGCCAAAGTGAGTGAGCACTGGAGGGCCTGAATGGTCCCAAAACCTCTTTCTTCCTCTTCTCTCCCTTACTATCCCACCCACCTACTCTGCACCCCTGTCCAGGGCAGAGCTGCCTCTTCCCGTGGAATCTTCTATTACCACTCACAATGGAGACCCCATTCCAGCTCACCACAGACGTGTATCACTACTCCCCATGACCCCCCATTATGGCTCCTCCTCCTCCCTTGAAGCCGCACCTGCCTTCCCTGTCCATCCATGGCCCTCACCTCTGCACTCCCGGCAGTACCACTCCCGGATGGCCTTGGCCATCTTCTCAGTGATCCGGATGCAGTCCCCATGGAACCACTCATTGCAGTTGTCACACCCGCTGCGGAGGATGGGGCAGGCGGTGGAGATGTGAGGGGCGCGGCCCATCGGCCTCACCCCACCCTGCTAGTGTCTGCCCCGCCCACCTCTCCCGGGCTCACATCATGAAGCAGTTGATGTCCGGTTTGCGACAGATGCAGTAGATGGGCGCATTCTCTCCATTCTCCGACTTGCTGTCCTCCCCAGCATCTGGAGGCTCTGGGTCTGAACCATCTCCCTCCTGCGGGATACCCCCATTACGGATCCTTAAACAGCCCCCACCGTGGCGGCTTATCCCATTACAGCTCCACCATGGTCAGCAGGGATCCCCACTCTGCCTGCAGATTTCACATCGGGGCCCCCCAAAAACCTCTCCATCACAGTCCCCACTGAGCTCCATCCCTTCCCCTGACATCCTATTACTTTGCTCCATACTTCCCATCACGCACCCACCGACACC